TATCGTCGTGAAAGGTATTGAATTGAAACGCTCAATTGCTTGAAAATTAAATAATTTATAAATTAAAGAGACGGTATATTTTTTTTAATTTGAGTGCATCAAAAATAACTTTTTATAATAATAAAATAAACTTATTAATTTATGCGTCTGAATTATATACATGCCCTTGCATCCCCTTAAATAGCGACAGGCAAAATCTTTTTTATATGGCAAAATTAAAATCGGATTGTGTTTGTCCCTTTTAAAGTGCAAAGAAGTGAAATTGGCTATATAAATACATTTAAAATACTACAAAACAAACAAAATAAAAGATATTCATTTAAATTGACAACTCATTCTTATAAACCCAGCAAAAAACGCAATTACCACAGAAACGAAAGTGGAAACGAGCTAGGCGATGGGAATCGCTCACCCTTTCGCTTCAAGAAGGCATTATTTTAACATAGGTATGTCATTGGCGGTAAGCCCTTACCCGCAACATTACCTTCATACGAAGGGAGAACGCATGGATAAACAGAATCCAAAGAAGCGAACAAAGAATGCCTTGCAGAGAAACTAATGTAGAATGCCTAGATATGTACATACTTATTTATATTAAATTGAAATCATAAAATGTTTTAAAAGATTAAAATTATTTAAAAATTTTATAAATCAGTATTTAGGTGTTAAGATTTTACTTAAAAAATCGGTATGTACATACATGCATATTTAATTAAGCTTAAAATTGAACTTCCTCACTCTTGTACTTCACTTCATTGACTGACTTCGCTTCAAACTGAACAAAGCAAAACATGATTTTTATGCGAGACAAATTTCCACAGAAAGTAACGGTAGAAAAAGAATTTTTGGATATTTGGGGTGCTCACAGTTCGTTCCAAATTGTGTCTGAAAATGACACAATTGAGACATCTTTAGCATCAAACTGTGAGCACCCCTTTCTAGCAGTCGTCGCAAAATCGTCTCAAAACTTTTCTGGTATTGCCAGACATTTCTTCCTTGCGTGCATTTTTTATATGTCGCCTTTCGATTTTGTTTCTGAAAAATTGTAATTATTTAACTTAATTACCAATTCGTATTATTTGTTATTTCTTTTCCTTGATTTGTTTCTTCTCATCAGAAATTGCGCTCAAATTACATGCAAATACAGAAAACGTGCCCAATAAATAAAAAAAAATGTGATTAGTATTGCCATAATGCAACCCTGCTACGAGGTTGCAAAATGTAGACGCGTAAAAAACATACCTTTGAGTGTGACAAAATGTAGACGGCGTCGTTTTCCAATTTTGTATGGGAAACAACAACACCACAGATTTTACGGTTAGAAAACGTCTTAAAATGTAGACGTCTACATTTTGAGACACTATTTGGAACGAACTGTGAACACCCCAATTCATTCTATTTTTCATCTGACGATGCAGCATTCTACTTTGCATTCTCTTATACGCTATGCCTTCTACAACACGTTACCACTAAAAGTGATTACCGATTTTTTGCTGGGAAAGTTCAACTGAGATCAAATACGGAGGCGCATATCAAAATCCGAACAAGGGAAATTATTGACATTTTACCATTTTATAAGAAAACGAACATAGTATCGCTCAAAATAATAGCACCCCAACATTTTTTAGCAGTTTTGACTACTTTTTTTGTTTATTTAGTGTCTACTAATTTTTTATAAAAAATGTACAAAACATAAAAAACTACAATATAAATAAAAATTCAAGAATTTCTATAAAAATTTTGTGTAAGCAATTTTATAGCTTATTAAATTTTACTATAACTCAGTGTAAGCTTATAGTTGCTAAAAATCCCAATGACTTAAATTTTTTTTTTGCCGACTGTGTTGTGAATTTTCTTGCATAAAAAAAAAATAATGTAATGAGTAGAGATGTAAAGAAGAGACATTGTGAAGCCTTGCTAAAACCGACATCGATAGTTTTCAAAAACTATCGATAGTGGCGACAGTTTTCAACTATCGATACTATCGATGTGTGGTCACAGGCCGCTCAGTAAGCTATGGCATGTCGATCACTGCGCTAGGTAGAGAAAGAAAAGTGTGTGCTATGACATGCCCAGACTTGTTTGTCTCAGTTTCAGTTTTGCCATCGCCGCGAGTTGTTTCGGTGTGCGCGTAGTTATTTAAAAATATAAAGTTTGATGCCAACCGGGGTTTCTCAGTGAATATATAATTCATGTGAATTATAATTAGAAAGTATCTATTTAGCCAAGGAAAAAGCAAAGCAGTATACTTAAACCAGCACTTACAGCAGAAATTGACCTGGGTTTTTGCACGACTGTTCCTGTTTCATCGTTTCTTTTTAGAAAATTCTATGTATGTAAATATGTATGTATTTTTTATGCTTTATATATGCAAATAAAAGCAGAAAGTAAACACAACAACCATCGAGTAAATTTTTATTTGTGTCAAACAGAAGCTTTTTCTCCAATAATAAACGGTTAGCTGATTTAAGTCTACAGCAAGTTCACAAAATTAATTGAAAACTTGTATCAACCGAAGCATTGTTTATATTTGCTCAACAACGATTTTATTCAACTAACAATATTGTCCACTCAAGGTAATCATTTTGTAATTATTAACAAATATACATTTGTCCCAACTAGAAGTCTCAAGTAAATTGTAGACTTTCGTGACCTAGATATTTATTTCGCCATATCCAACTGTGCCACTTGGTCACTATAACCAAATCTTGGTAATTATAACTAAACCTTTGTCTGGGTGTATTGAGAATAAAATTACAACTTGTAATAATAATCCCTCATACGGTGTTACGCATTTAAAACGTAACGTAATTGCCTCGTGGAACCGCGTGATATTAAAGGAATTGGCACCGTGCATAGCCGCACTTTGCACTAGGCATTTATATTTGACACTATCATTTCTCACTTCGTTTGCCCCAAGCCAAACTGGCAAAGTTTTGGGCAGTCTAATAAGAGTAAATATATATCAATATAGATAATTTTTCCAAAAATAAATTTAATTAAAAACTTCAATCAGAAATAGGCTTGACACAACAACTATTTAAAAATAAAATCTCTCTTAATTTTAGTACGATTTGTAGACAATTTCAAAAACTTCATCAAAAATATACGATTCTAAGGAATAATCCATCTATGATTGATATACATACATACAGTGAACCAATTAAAAGCTGGGAAGCAATATTTTAGCAAGTTTTGGCTATTTTTCTTTAATTTATTCAATGTTTATTATTTTTTTATCAAAGTATAGCTGATTACTTAAAAAACGCGATATAAATCCAAATTTCACACTTTGTGCAAAAATTGCGAAAATTCTGCAAAGTTTGACCAAAATTTCAAACTTCGTAATCAGCAACTTTAGACAAAATTTTGGTATGCAGTTTTGCAGCCCATTAAATTTTAGTATAATAAAGTGCAAATTACCGTTGATTTTTGGCAATTTTTTTTTGTCTGACGGTTTTCCGCATTATTTTCTACATAAAGTAAAAATACTGTCCTTATTATGTCATTATAATTAATTAACGACTGCTTTATCGATCACATGTTATATGCATGATGTCGAAAACGTCGATAATGATGTTTAACCGGCAAGTAGTGATAACCAGACATTGAATAACCGGCCCTTAAAAGAGTAGACATCCCTGTCATGCATATAACATGTGATCGATAAAGCAGTCGTTGCCGATTTATGTTAATCAAACATTAAACTACAGGCCCTTAATGCTCGTTTTAATGTATTATCTAATTGCGATCTGCTTGATTTCGCTTTATCTATGTAGATAAAATTTTCTAAATAAAATCTAAATTTATTTGCTTAACAGGGAATTTATATTAATTGCTAATATTCCATCTACCGAATTTTAGTTGTTTGTTATATTTTTGCTAAACCTGTAAGATACTCTATACTGTGCATTAATAAATAAATAAATAAACCAATGCAAAAGTATCACTTGTAAGAATAAGTATAAGCTTTAGCTCGAAAGGTGTTTTCTAGAATTGCTTGGTCTAGGTCAAAGATTATTATTTTGATAATGTCATCTGTTTTGAACTGAAAGATGGGATCATGTTCAACTCCAGAGTACCATTAAAATGTATGTATGTGGAGCTTCACTCTGAAATCAACAGGCTTTGACCTAGCCTTACACAGGTTTTGACGAGATTTGCCAATGCCAGCCGCTATAGAAATCTTAGTGAATTATATGATCTTGATAGTCGGAGACAATACCCCATGTCATTTAAGCTTTGAACAAAAAACACTCAGATAACTTATGATAAACTCCACAGTACTTAAGAACGACCGAATGAACTTTTGAGTGAGTAGCGCGAAAAATCATTTGGCTGGATGATTTGATATAAAGCTCGCACTATCGCGTGGTGACTCTGAGCTTAGCGAGTCGCACTATTTTATTTTTCAAAATATTGTATTTGAAGGGACATACTAAATTAAAAGTATCTGATATGTGTACCGGCGCTGGGTAAATTCAATTATATTGAATGCAACCGCCTCGAATGGTACTCATTTCTTTTGGAAAGTGTTCACATTCACTTTGCGATGTTTGTAATAAAAGTTCGTTGAATTAGCATAGATATGTACGTTTGTACGTATTTATGTAAATATATACTTTCATTCATTTTCGTTTTGCTATTCGTATTAAAAAGTACACACTTGAATTTTTATAGCAAATGATGTTATAAACTGTTCACATACATATGTATGTACATACATATGAATATATGTAAGTTATATAGTAGAAACACATAAAGCCTTAGTAATTTTTACGATATTTATGGCCTTCTAAACACAAATCGTTATTTTAAAATTGTTTTGGAATGGCAAATGTAGTCAGCAGATTACTATTTCGGAGTGTTGTTATTTATCAAGCGAAGGACTCACTACATTCATACATTACTACATATGTATCATACATACATGAATAAACTACACGCACACAAATTCGAACTGATGTATTCCTTTCGTTTGCAAAAAAGAACAACTTAACTTCAACTTCGGAATTTGTTCCCGCGGAACACTTAATTGAGTTTTCTAAGTTTTTTAACCTGCCACTTTAGTGCAATCGGATTTATTTCATTTCTTGCATTTTCATCTTGGTTGTTGATATGTACTACATATATGTGGCAGCTTTCCCGAAGTTTTTGTTTTCTACATCTACATTGAAATCATTGTTACCAACATAACTGTTTATCTGGCGAAAGACTTATTAACACTACTGTTATCCTTAAAACTTTATCCAAATTGATTTTCACGTCCAGTGGCATTTGTTTAAATTTTCATAACAATTTCTAATTACTGCACACTTTTAGTAGCAAAACAACGAGCCGAAATGTATTCAAAGAAATCGAGTATACATAGCACCTTTGACGCTTGCGGCATGGATGTACTAAATGGCTGCTCGATTTATTGATAGAAACCACCGTCTCCTCTCACAATCACTATGTACATACATATGTATGTGTGTATGCATGTACATTTATGAATACACAGTAGAGAGCACAAAAAATGCACCACAATCTACAGCGGAGAGACAATATATTCAAATCCCACAGAAGAACAAGAAGAGTGATTAATAGTGTGAAAAGTATGCTGATCCAGTTAAGATATATATAAACAATCCTCATCAGGCGCAGTACTAGAAAGTTACTAACCTTTAAGTGCATCGTGGTGTAGAATGGTTTTAGGATTGGGCTTTCGGTGAACTCATATGTCGCACGTTTAATAATAGTTTCGTTCCTCAACTTTTCAGAATGAAACCTGTAAAACTGTCAAAAAACAAAATTCCTCTCAAAGAAAGAGAGAAAAATCAAAAAGTACGGGAACGCTTTTCGGGTAAAAACTGGTAAAACTGTCAAATATACCGTGGGCGAAATTTTTTGTTTACATAGCAGTTTTTTATCATTTGGCGATGTTCTAAGACTATGTTCAAACAGGCCAATTAGCTGGGGAAATTAAGCTTTAAATTGCGGCATTGAATTTGGTGTTCACACACACGTCAGCTGCGCAATTAGCGAAATCAGCTGTTGGATTACCTGCAGTGATGGAAAAGATGGTGCAGTCGTACCTTTATTTAGTTCGGTACAAACACACAATTTTAGGTACATATGGAACGTAGCCAAATAAATTCTCAGGAAATCAGTTGTTATTTTTATTGACAATGCATTTTCTGGTGCGGGCAACTGATGTACTAGCTTCCCTTATATGTGAAGGGGCATACAAATGATACAGAAGGGTGGTCAAATTAACCCAACTGTAGTTCATTTCGCTAGATAGAGGGAAAATATTTCTTTTTAAAACGTCAGATCGAAGAACTGGGAGGAAAGTTATTCACCTTTTCTAACATAGCTTCGTCCCGCGCTGCTCAAAGGGACTGTTTTCATAGCCAAAATTTGTTCAGTGTGTGTGCAGAAGTTGATATGGCATCGATGGGAATTGTTATCCTACTATCTTTATTTAGAAATACATATTTACTTTTTAGGTACATCGATCCACTTTTAGGTAAAGTTTTCTGGAAACTAGGAACAATTTTATAATTCAATTTTCCATCCATGATGAAATATCAGATGTAAAAGAGGACCAGCTGATTGCTCTTTCTTCAATAAACATACCCCCAAGTCAAAATTAAACATACCTAGCAAGGTTGCATAGAGAATTTGACACAAATTAATTGCCAATTAATTAGTTGACGTTCTAGTAAATAATTTGAATTAATCATCCATGAAAACTTTAGAAATGCGAAAAATTCGACATCTTTGAACGCATTTCTAGAAAATCTGCAGCTTTAAATTTTTAATAGTGGTTCGAATAGAACGAGCTAGCTGGACAAAATCATTTAGCTGGATTTTCTGACTAACATGGTTGTATTTAATCACATTACATATGTACATTTTGTGCAATAAAATTGTAATCGGAGCTAATCGTCCATTATAAACATATGGGGCATTTCACCTCAAGTGACCCAACTTTTGATATCGATGTCTTCCGATCGGGATGAAATTTGCACCAAGCTTAGTCCTATAAAATAGTAGTTATGACACAAAATTTCAATGGGATCGGTCAAACACACTCCGAGTTGGAGGGTCTAGAATTTTGACATTTTGGTCAAACGGCCATTTTTTCGGATCCATATAACTAATTACCTTTTGTATTTAGAAAATTTTTCAGGCATGTTTTCGATAGATTTCTCTTCAGTCTTTACAAGTTTATTTTTTTTTAATTAAAAAAAATTTGTTTGAAATTTTTTTTTTTTAAATAAAAAATAACTTTTATGTTTTTTTCAAAAAGGGGTATTTTTTTTTTGCTCAAAAGAAAGCTTAGGTATTTTTCTTTAAGAGCTTTGTGGTCGCTTAGTGGGATGCGACTTGTTTATCAATCAAAATTAGCGGTTAGTAACTCGAAACAGCGGTTTTTTTAATTTTTAATATATGACCTATTGTCTTCTTTTTTTCGTATTATTGTGTAAGTGTCTCTGAAACCTGAAAATAGAACTTATATGGGAAAGTATATACAATTACCTTTCCAACGGTATATAACATGCCTAACCAAAGTTTCATACCCTCGATATGCAATCCCCGTAGTTAAGGATGATTAAGATTTTTCGTAGTCTAACACAGCAGGTGCGATTTTGTGCATCCAAACACTTTATTAATAGCTTTACAGAATTTTGAGTATTAGATTTGCATACCTACTAGCACAATATTTGAAAAGTATGAAGAAGATGGGATTTCCCGGTAGTTAAGGATGATTCAGATTTTTCTCTGTACCTAACCACAGCAGATTCGTCCAAACCTTTTCTCAATAGATTTGCATACCTACTCGCGCAACCTATAAGTATGTACCCTGTAGTCAAATGTACTAGTTGTAAACTACCTCACAACTAGTATGAACCGCATGCCCAACTAGTCAGCCAACTATCTTTTTTCCACGCAATCAACTGGTATTTTGAGATTTGGATAAGAATAAAATAACTAAATAATTCAAGCAGTTAATAAATATTCCTAATTTTTGTCTATACTTTGGCTTGTTGATTGATAATTAAAATTAATCAAGTAATTATATTAATTCTAATTAAAAAGAGTCGAAAATAGATGAAAATGATCAAAAATAACAAAATAATGATGTAATTAAAATTAACGAATTAATTAAAAAAATTTGTTTAAGTAATTATTAATCATTAAAAAGGTGCTAATATCGGTATTTAACCATTAAACGGTTATTCAAACAAACATGCTTTAATTAAAAATCGTTATGAATATTAATCATTATTTAACAAGTATGGTATAATTACAAGTACGTACTCGCTTTAACGATTTACAATATACCCAAATAAAAGTTATAATATTTTGTATACTCTATTGTATTCAACTGTCGAAGTTAAATAAAACAGGGCATGAATACATAAATCGTTTTGTACTTGGTACAAGTCTGGTCATTTACGAACTAGTTCGGTTTCAGTCCGGAGATTTTAGTTGCAAACTAGTATTTTTCCTGACTAGTTTGGCGTTTCACTGCAGGGTAGCTATAATAAATCAGCTCTAGTTTATGAAGGCAGTGTCTGGTCATTCTGAAGACCACTTTTTTAGAAAGAGCGTTAAAATAAAGACTGTGTTATTTACATAATTAAAATTTTCAATAGCTATGGCTCATAAAAAGGCTAAGCTTGATAATAAAATTTTTGCTTCAGTTTGCTTTAATCCCTTCAACAAAAAAAAAACCACGTATCTTCAGATACACGACGGCTTTCTGACGGCTTAATATCAAAATTCCCTACGCTACGGATGCGAATTTGTGGATCGTTCAGAAAAGAGCTCAGCAAATTGAAGGAATTACCGACTTCGAAAAGTAATGAGCCTTGTGAAGACGTTATTCTAGGTAGAGACCATATTGATTCTGAGAATGATGACCGAATTTCCGATGACGATGGTTCCAACTTTACTGAAGAAAATATGACTTCAAGGGATGAGTGCCAAAACTAATACCACAAGGATGCAATAAAAGTCCTTGAGCAAATAAAAGAAAAGTACAAAACTTCAACTAGTAGAGCAGAAAAAATTCAACTTCTCAAACTTGCTCCACCGACATGGAGTCGCGCAAAAACAATGGCTGAGTTTGGAACATCAGAAAGTAAAGCCAGGATTGCTAAAAAATTAGTTGCAGAGAATGGCATACTCACACTCCCAAACACAAAGAAAGGAAAACCTTTAGAGTGCAAAATTGAAGCTCTAGTGACTCAGTTTTATCAGCGCGATGATATGAGTCGCCTGATGCCAGGGATGAAAGACTGGCTGTCTGTACGAATTGACGGTAAGAAAGTTCAAATGCAGAAGAGGATAATTCTCTGCAACCTGAATGAGCTATTCGTGAGCTTTCAATCCGAACACGAGGATATTAAAATTGGATTCACAAAATTTACCCAGCTCAGGCCAAAACATTGCGTCTTGGCAGGAAGCAGCGGAACTCATATAGTATGCGTTTGCATTTATCATGAAAATGTGAAGCTGAAGTTGAAGGAAATCAACTTGAATTATTTAACAAATGATTCGCCGGAAGATTTAAACAGTTACCGTGATTGCCTTAAATTGACAATGTGTCCTAATGTATCAACTTCTTGCCACTTGGGTGAATGCTCAAATTGCCCGGAGCAGCGGTCATTCTTCGAAAATTTTAAGATACATTTGCAGGCAGGTGAATTCGTTATTTCATACGATTTCGCAGAAAACTATAAATATGTTATCCAGGATGCTATACAAGCGTTCCATTTCAATAACGACCAAGCAACTATATTTACAATAGTTATTTACTACATGAATGATGAAAAACTGGAACATAAAAGTATGGCAATCATATCCGACGATTTGAAGCATGACGCCGTTGCTGTTTATGAGTACCAGAAGATAATACTAAATTATCTAAAATCCAAATTCACAGTAGCGAAGGTATACTAAGTTTCGGATGGAGCTCGTCAGCATTTTAAAAACAAAAGTAGCTTCGCAAATCTTATGGCTCATGAAACAGATTTCGATACACCAGCTGAGTGGCATTTTCATCCTACTACTCATGGTAAAGGAGCATGTGATGGTATAGGAGCAAATATTAAAAGAAATGCAGCGAAGTATAGCATCCAATGCTCTCATCAAGCTCGTATCGTAGATGCGATAGCTTTATTCCGGTGGGCAAAGAATTATTGTAAAGAAACTGAAATAATGTCTAGTAGCAAAGATGATCATGCGGAAACTGCGATATCACTGAAGAGCAGATTCGAAGCTGCAGTAAC